GGGGGGGGGGGGGGGGCGCGGCTAGAGAGGCGCCTTTGGGTTTACCATAGAGAGGGCGCTAGACGGGCACGCACCGCTGCCTGACTGTTGGGGTGCTGGCGGTGTGGCCCCGCCGATGGAACAGGCCCATGGACACCCCCTGGCCCTGCACCGGGCCCCGGGCCCGGCACAACCGGCTACAGCACGCCAGGGCCTCCCCGCCCGACCCCCCATACCCCAGCACACAGCCTCTCGCAAGACCCCCTCACCTTCCCGCTTAACACCCTGCTGGGGCACACAGCCGGCTCACAACACCCTGGGCTCTCCCCGCCTGACCCCCACACACCCTAGCCTCTCACGACACCCCATCACCTCCCTGCTTAACACCCTGCTGGGGCACACAGCCGGCCGGCAGCACCCCAGGTCTTCCCAAACCCCCACCCTGCTGCAGCACACCCCGTCACCCACCCCCGGGGTGCCTGTCACCTGCCACAGGGCACAACCGGCTTGCAACACCCAGCTCCCTCCAACACCCCTGCTCCTCCCCGCCTGACACCCAGCTGCAACACGCAGCCGGCTGACAACACCCTAGGGCTGACAACACCCCGCTGCAGCCCCCCGTGCCATCCCCCCCCAACCCCCGGCGCAGGGCCAGTGGTGCCAGTAAACGCGGTGGCGGGGGCAGCCAGGGCCTCGCCCCGTCCCCGAGGGGCTGTTGCCCCACAGCCAGGCCGGGAAGCGGCCGCAAGCACCAGTGGAGGGGAAGCGGCGTTAATCAGATCAGGCCCCCCGCAGCCACTGGTTCCCCCCCGCCGCCGCGGCTCATCGGGGAGGTGTAGAAAACCCCGATCGCATCAGGATCGACCGAGGGGCCTCCATTAGGAGCCTGATGGCTCCTCAGCAGGATGGGGGAGGCCGAGGAGGGGCCAGGGGCCGCTAATGGACAGGCAGGGAGTGAGCTCAGCTGCTGGCCCCGGTTCAAGGCGGGGAGCAAAGCTCCAGGCCGGCTGCGGTGAAGGAAGGAAGGGGGGAGCCGGCCCCACTCCCTCCCTGGCTCTGCACCCACACTCACGCCCTCGGTGGTTTTTTTTTTTTTTTTATTCAATCCAAGTTGCCATGTGAACGGAACCAAAATACAAAAAAAAAAAAAAAAAAAAAAAAAGACGAAAAAATCCAAGGAAAGAAAAGACAGAAACAAACCCGAGTATTTAAAAAAAAATAAATTGATGCAAACAGGGCTGAGGTGGGACTGAGGCCCCTCCAGGGCCTCCCTCCTCCACGGGGTCTCACTCCCCCAGCCAGGCACCGAGGGGTCAGGCGGGGGGGGGCCAGGGACCCTCCTACCCCACTCCTGTGTCTCCCTGCCCTCGGCGTCAGGGGCAGGAGGATGCGAAGCCATGGCAAGGTGGGCCGGGAGCCGGCCAGAGCCCAAGACCCAGGTCCCTGCTGCGGGGCCGGCCCGCCCAGTCCTCTTGCCGATCTGGGAACCAGCCTGGAGCCAGCCGAGGACAGGGCTAATCCGAGCCAGACGCGGATTCTTCCGAGCTGGGGGGCAAGCTGGCGACTCCCTCCTCCTCCGAGTCCTGTGGGCAGGGGATGAGGTCAGGGCAGCAGCTCTCATTCCCCCGCCTCTCCTGTGCGCCACCACGGGGGCGGGGTGACAGTGGTGACACAGGGATGTGTGTAGCAGACAGGCCACCCACAGCAGAGGGATGTGACCAGCATACCACAGACAAGAGGTACCAGAGGGTCCCAGAGCCCCTACCGGGATGGGAGGAGTGGGCCGCCTCCCAGAGAGACAAACAGAGCATGGGGAAGATGGGCCAGTAGAACGCCCCCAGCCAGGCAAGAGCCCTACCTCCTTCTTGCTCTCTGCAGAGGAGCTCTCATCACTGGAGACAAATTCCTTGCTCTTGAAGCTCTCGCTCATGTTCTTGGCAGGGGACTTGGTAGAGGACAAAGACTTGGAGGTGGCACCTTTCTTCTCCACTTTCCCCTTCATCTGCTTCTCCTGCTTCTTCTTCTTCTTTTTAGACCTCTCCCTGTGCGTGTGTTGGGAGGGTGGAAGAGAGAGGAGAAGTGTTACCCTGCTGACAGCCCACCGGCCCTGTCTCTGGCACCACAGAGCCAAGGATGCTCTTCACACAGCCCCCAGCCCTGGAGAGGCTCAGGCACCATGATGGCTGGGCAACAGCCCAATTTCGGAGGGGCGAAGCCCTGCCACCCTCCCCACCAGCCCTCCCTGCTTGGCGCACTCACGTCTTGGAGCTCTCTGACTTGCTGCCCACGCTGTACTCCTTCATGGCCTTCTCATAGTCCCTCCTGGCGTCTTCTGCCTTGCGATCCCATTCCTGCAGCAAGAGCACAAGGTTAGCGGGGCCTTCCCCTCCTCCTCCTCCACCACCTGCACCACCAGAGCCCAACACCATCCCCACTCACACCACACCACCACTCCCACCACGGCCCTCGCCACCTTGGATCATGCCTACGCTCACCCCAGAGCTCACCAGCCCAAAGACATCACCTCCCCACTGCCACACTCCCCTCCCGACCTCCCGCCTATGAAGCACCAGGTTCTGGAGATCAAGCAAGAGCCTGCCAGGCCTCCTCAGCTCCAGCCTCCTCCTCCGAGACCAGGCTCAGCTCTCCCCACCAGCAGAGCAACCCAGATGCCCCATCCCTCACCTCTTTCTTCTCCTTGGACATGGCTTTCCAGAGCTCCCCGGCCTTCTTGGACAAGTCTGTGATGCTGATGCCAGGATGGTCTGACTTGATCTTCTCACGGTTGGCATTCAGCCAGAGCATGTAAGCTGACATCGGCCGCTTAGGAGCATTGGGGTCTTTCCCTTTCTTGCTCTAGAAGGCAGGGAGCAGAGAGAACAAGGATGAAAGCCTCGAACAGCACCACTTGCTGAAGACCTCGAGACCTGGGGCTGCCCCAAGACGAGGGGCTGGGTCTCAGCTTGCCTCCTACATCCCACCATCAATTCAGCTACACCGTCAGGGGAGACGGGTTGTCAGGTCACACCCACGGAAGCTGGAAGGGCAGGTTGCTGGAGACAAGCCCCCCAACAACCAAAAGGACTAGCTAAGTGCGGGCACCATGCACCCTTTGGAAGAGACTCCACCTAGATTCATCCACAGGAGGCAGCGAAGTCAGGCTTGGACAACTGACCCACCCAGGGCAAAGCACAGCGAGGTGGTGCCACCAGACCGGACCATGGCAAAAGGTTGAGGTGAAGCAGCTCAGCTGATGGGCTGCAACCTGCATCTTCCCGGTGTTGCTCCCAACAGGGAACAGCAACCCATGCTCCAGGAGCAGGTCCTGCTCTCCACAACCAGTCAGCAGCAACCTCTCACCTCCAGCTGCTTCTTGCGAGGCTTGCGGTCTTTGACAATCTTGGCCTTCTTAGCTGGCTTCTTCTCATCCCGGTCGCTGTCACCGTCACCACTGGAGGAGCTGGCCGAGGCGTTGCTGTCAAACCTGTGTGGAGGTACTTGGCTTCAGCAACAGCTCAAGACCCCCACCCAGAAAGATGAAGCACGAGGTGGAGACGTAGCAGCAACAAGCAGGCAGCAAGACATGCCCCTGAACTGCCCCAGCCTCCAGCAACCCATAATTCGGAGGCTTCCTGAGCTGAAGCTCTTGTGTTCGTGCTTAACAGCTCTCAGGGGATTTTCCTTCCACGAACACAGCTCATCATTTTCTGACTTCCTGTAAATTTTAGGCACTCACAACGCCACATGGCTCAACTCCACCAAGACCCACCTCCTCCTGTCAGGCTGAACCCAGCTCCCACCAGCACACACGATGGCCCTTCATGCTGGTGCAGACACTGTGATTCTCGCCCACCTTCTCCCCCAACTCTGGATTTTATGGAGCTGCATCCCATCCTCCTCCCGCTGTTCTCTTTTCCAGCCTGAACAGCCAAGGCCTCATCCAGGAGCCATCCGATCCCCCTGACTGCCCCTCTCTAACCCTTTCAAGTTGTATCACGTCAACATAATAGAGCGAGCCCAGGACTGCACCTGC